GAGGCTAAACTTGTGTTGTCTTGCAAGCAGTGCATGAATGATGTACTGACAACCCCTGCGAGGGTATGCCATGTGTGTGTGTGAACATTTGTATAAATAAAAGTGGGCTATCAGGCCTTAAAAAGCATATATTGCGTGTGGACTGCATCCTTAAAGCACTCACCATATGTGCTAATATTCCTAAACACACACACACACCATTGCTTTCTGCTGCTGCAGAAATCGATCAGGCATTATGGTGAGGGGGTGGGGCTTCAAGACAGTACAAGACTTAGTAGCTCCCATCCACCCTTCATCTTTCTCTCTGTCAGCCTTGGTTGAGGACTAGAAAGTACAATGTTGGCCATGCAAAGATTGGAACATGTTATCCTTGATGTTCTCATTCAAGTTTTAGGTTTTACAGCAACATTCCCGTATGAACAGTCAGCAGAAAATGCAGTGGAGGTGGCAGTTCATGGATGTGATGTAACAAGCATGATGACATAACAGCACGATAAGAACCTTCATCTTACTTGTATTTCCCCTTTAAGCTGAACTCCAGGCAAACAGCTGAATGCCAACAAGAAGTACATCTAAAGGTGCCCATACACTGCACGATTCTCGTACGAGAATCGCGGGAAATCCCGCGATCGTACGAGAATCGTACAGTGTATGGAAGGCTTGCAACTGTTTCTACTGTACGGTCGCACGTCTTCCATCGAACAAGCAGGCTTGTTCGACAACTGACGAACGGGCCGGTGTGCGCACGCACACACTGCCCGTTTGCCGTCCTCGCAAGCGATGATCGCCATTTCGATCTGCCTGTCCAAGATACGCAGATCGTACGTTTTTTTAAGTACTTTACAACCCTCGCAAGACAAAAGTCTTGCGAGGGTTGTAGAGTGTATGGGCACCTTTAGGGAGCCATTTTATTTATTTGTATCTCTCCATCCAGTTGTGCTCTGCCACACACCACAGCACAAGTCAGAAGTCCTGATTATACTCTGCTGTAGTTCAGTAACACTTACAGGTCTTGATCCCAAACCCGCCATGTGACTGGACAGTGAAAGAAGAAGCTGCAGACTGATGAGCTGGTCTCTGTTACTCTGATCTCTCCTCCTATCAGGATGCTTCTTGCGCTAAATCACAACTTACCGTCCTGTGCTGCTTCTCCTTTCCCAAGGCTGAGCTCTGCTTTACAGGGTGCATTCATGAAAACCGAGCACATTAATTTGTTCTTTATCTGCTTAGAGTTGTGTTCCCTCAGTGTCCTCATGTCCTATATACTGTATTGGACCTGATAACTCGAGGATTCCCAGACCACTGCAGTGGAGGGGAGGAGACGCGAGACACTCCAGGGGCCAGTCCAAGAGCCGGCTTGGAGGATCACGTGAGTGTAACTTTTTTGTACCCTAGGTAAAAACGAGCAATAACCCTTACAGTGCAGGGGTAGCCACACTGCAAGGGTTAATAACATGTTTGCCTGAAGTTTTTCTTTAAAGGTAGTTGGGAACAATGCACATCTAAAGCTGGCCATAATCATATAGATTATCTGCAGATTTTCTGTTGTCAGATGGAAAAAGTGCAACAGATTCCTCCATCTACACTTAACTGTGTGTATGGAGGAATCTCCCACTGGGCCAAGCTTCAGGATCTTGTTAGTCGGCCCCACTGGCTGTCCAAATACCTAAACAATCTGATTGGACGCAGACATTGTTCAGGTATTTTGAGAGCCAGCGGGGCTGACTAGCAAGATACTGAAGCTTGGCCCAGCGGGAGATTCCTCCATACACGTAGATGGAGGAATCTGTTGCACTATAGGTGTATGGCCAGCTTTAGGAAGAAAGCAGCCAATAGTACGTGTTATCATCTGTGTCATTATCACTGCAGCCAATAGTGGTTTTCAGGACTAGGACTACATCACTTAAAGGCCAACATTAATTTTTTGTCACTATGTCGCCCCGAGGAAGGGACCCTCTGTGGCCCCAAAACGTTGGCTTGACTGAGGCATGTGATGTACGCTCAATAAATATGAACAAGAACTTCACATCCTGTGAGTGCTGGTGATTCCTTTCCCCCGTATTTGAGAATACACGGCGCCATCCGTGTCATCACTTCGAGCACCGCTATTCAGAAAGAGAAAGGTCTACAGAGCCGTATGGAATGCAGGTGACAAACCACAACACTTGACGTGTCCTAAAACTGTCTCCTCTTCCTGGTAACTAACTTTTCATTGGTTAGAACATTCAAGCCTGACAAATGCATCAAAAACACTTCAGAAATACCAGAAAATGCTCATGTTAAAGTAAGAATGAGGCTGTTTATTATTTGTGGATTGGGTTTGATCTTTTACTGCAGCAGTAATAACTGTTACATTGTCATGCTGTCACATATCTAAGGGATGTTAGCGATGGTTCCCTTGGCTGGACCATCGATGATACCTACACACACTATATTGCCAAACGTATTGGGACACCTGCCTTTACACGCACATGAACTTTAATGGCACTGTGTGCTTCCGCATGCGCTGACCCCGCTCTGTCATTTTACGTGGCCTACCACTTCGTGGCTGAGTTGCTGTTGTTTCCAGTTGCTTCCACTTTGTTATAATACCACTTTCAGTTGACCGTGGAATATTTAGTAGCAAGGAAATTTCACGGATGGACTTATTGCACAGGTGGCAGCCTATCACGGTATCACACTTGAATTCACTGAGCTCCTGAGAGCGACACATTCTTTCACAAATGTTTGTATAAGTGTCTGTATGCCGAGGTGCTTGATTTTATATACCTGTGGCCATGGAGGTGGTTGGGAAAACTGAACCCAATGATTTGGAGGGGGGTCCCAATACTTTTGGCAATATAGTGTATCTCTGAAAGGACAGCAAGATAAAGAAAAAGGCTGACTAGCTTAATTTGACAATATTATAGGAATTCTAAGTTTTTTTAAGGAAATTCCAACCTTTTTGTAGGTAAATTTTCCCCCTAGCTGGCCTACTAGTCCAATCCAATAGATACCAGAAACTTCCCCTTCGGAATGGTCCTGAATCTTGAAAAGCCTATTCTGTTCCAAGTTCAACCAAGGAGCCGAGACAAAACAGCAGTTTAAATAATAGAATTTTTATTAAATGTAAAGAAATCAACATCTGAATTGACAATATATATTATAAAGAAGGCACTAGTCAGGGCTTATTTCACATGGCCCGTCTATATGTTCTGTCCGTGATTTGTTATCACCTCCTTCACAGGCAGCCTGTCCTGTAGCTGCAAAATATATACATACGAGATAGTCTTTATAAATTCCTCTGATCTGGATTTACACATATACAAAAACATTACTTACAGCGTTGTATAAATATTTTCTCTCTTTCTCAACACGTCGTCTAGGCAGTTTAAATATACAATATACTGCAAATGCCTGCAGTACAAAGACAGCATATCTGTATTATCTAGCTATGTACATGATATATCTAAGGTGGCTACAAAGGAACTACAAGACTTAGCATGCCCTGGCAGACAGAGAATGCTGGGATGTGTAGTTGCTTAGGCTGCCTGTTGGTCATATATGATGTAAGAGAACAATAGAAGCTTTACATCAATCTTCTCCAGTATAGAGCTGTATTGTGAGTGCTGCTCGGCCTTTTGGCTGATAACATTTCCTCGGGGGCCATTAACAGTGCCGCTCTATTTCCAGAACAAGAGGGAAGTTATTTGAAAACCTGTTTGCATAAATGAATGTGTCAATTCTTCCAATGAAAGGAAAATGATAGAAGAACAATGATGGATCAGAGCGCGATGTGCGGACATTTGTTTGGAGTTCTTCCCCAACCCCTTCCCATCCACAAACTGCATATTAACATTCCTCAGCACGATGCCCAATGCCGGAGATACGTTAATAAATGTCCTCCCTTTGAGAGTCACCAGCTAACACTTTGCATGGCTGGTGGTTGTCAATCCCTGCTGCCACTGACAGCTGCAGTTCCCACTGATGTTTGGTTTGTAAACCATTTATAGTGGTTTCCCATCATATGATTACTATGCTGGCTATGACATAGTGAACACTTGCAGGTTGGAGGCTTCATTGACATAATAAATCTCCAGCCTGCAGATGTCAATGCTGATACCACTCGAGCCTGAAGAGGGCAGTGATAATCTGTTTAATACTGTAATTGTCACATGCTATTACAGCATTAAAAAAAAACATTAAAAAAATAATAAACATTGCATTTGTTAGCCTACAGGATTTTTTTGTCAAAACAATGTACTGAGAAATAGCCTTATATAATAAATGAAGGTATACAAATTAGTCACAGACTCATTATCAATGTAACCAATGCAAGCTGATGCTGCTAAATTTGGCCTGGGGATCTAGGCACCTTTGGTCATGAAAGGGTTACATAACATGGTTTTAGCCCCTTGTCACTGATTAATACTTCTGTGTTGTGGCCTGGCAGTCCAGAATACATGCAGTGTTAATGGTGCCTGAAGAACTGTTCAGGAGACGCAGTCTACTTTTTTTTAACATCATCCTAAAGAAGAACTTTTGGTTTGTACTTCTCAACCAAATTCCTGGTGTATTTCCTCCAGTGCAGGATAGAGAATGTAAGGAAGAATCTGACAGGTTACAATGGGCAGCACAGATCGTTCTGTTCCCCTATAGTCCCCCCCTCCCTGTATTACTTACATTCGCGTTGCTCTTGTACATTGAGCCATGCTGAGTACATACCCTGTAAAATATCGTTCGGTATACAAGCGGAGCTCATTCTTTCCAATGTCCAGTTTTAGGTCAGCACATAGCAATCTCATAAACTCAGTGCTCGGTCCTGGCAGATTCTGAGAGCTAGCACAGACAACATTTCCCAAACATGACCTTTCCTGTGTCCTGGATGTGGTGACACTTTAGCTGCTCTTCCCCATTCTTCCTTGCCACCTCCATACCATCCAGCAAAGGCAGCCCGGCATCTGACTTCGCATTAGCAGAACATATTTCTGAAGTCTTGTCCAGCTGGCAATCAGATTTCCAGAGCAGCGATTCAGTGACGTGCGACTTCAGTAGTTGGGAGGATTTGTTTTATACGCCTCGGAGACCATGTCATTAATAGCTTTGATCTGCGCTTGGCCTGTATTCACAGTATTTCAATGTCCCACTTCTGTGTCAGGGCACTTTCCTGGGCTCTGCTTACTATCAGGTAGTTCTGATCGTAGTATTTCCCACCTGAACAAATGCAAAGACAGAAACAAATTAGCATGCTAGCGCTGACATTCTAATTAAAACAATTCAGACTATTAAACTCTGAAACGTTTTATTCAATAATGAATCCACGTCAAACAAATATACATGTTTCCAACCAGCTGGCTCCAACTCTCTCAGCTCAGCTGCCCTGAACTTCCTGCCCAGTACAAGATCACAAGGGACAGAGCAGTCTCCAGCAGCTGTCCATCTACTAGACTGGGGAAGGGAAAAGGAAGGAGGAAGAAGAGTGACTTCCCTTGCTGTACCTGTGTGTTTGCAAAGACACACACAACTTACTAGCACACACAAGGGTGTCTCCAGAGGACCCTGCAAGGGAAACGAGCCACCCAGTGCACAGGGGACCTGCGGATTCTGCAGAAAATGAAAACCTTTACAGAGGAACACCAGGATTTTCTAAAGTTAACCCTTCCTGTGGGGCTACCCCGACACTCAACGGATTAACTGCTCGTTTTGGTCTAGGGGCGCGAATAAGGAAAATAAACTCAACTAATCCTTAATCCCACCTGGCTGCTACTCCGGTCCCCACAGCCTCTTTTCACCCTGTCCATCTAAGCCCCACTGATGTCATCATTCACCTGGATTAGTCTCTGTTCAATCCTCTGCTTTTCATAGCTGAAAGAACTACAACGCCCATACAGAGGATTTCCATTGTTTTCTATGGCCCCTGTTCACCCCTGAGCGTCTTGTCGCCTGAAGCAAAATGCTTGTCGCTGGAAAAAGTACATGAGCTTCTTTTCTGCAGATTTCTGCACTCTTGGCCCTGTAGACTTTAATGGGAATGCCGGTAAATGCACAACACAAGCGTTTTCTAGCTTTTCTTGTATTTTGTCACGCATTCGTCAAGCAAGAGCCAGCCTTCCTCTTTGCAAAAAACACTGGGGAACCTAATGGATAACAGCACAAGCTGAAAATGCCGGTCAAAATGCTTTGTAAAAAGCTTAAAAACCACTTGACAAACGCATGTCAAGCACCCAATTGCATTTAAAAATAACACCTGAAAAAATGTCTTAAACGCTGATGCTTAGGTGTGAATGGAGCCTTGGATGTAAGGACACAGAGGGATGTTCCACAGACGGAGAGAGGTGAGTGGAATGGAGGACCGGGTGAGTATATCTTCCTTATTTCATTCTATGGATGCACTGATGCCAATACTAGTATCAGTATCGGTGCCGATAACGAGTATTTGGGCAAGTACCCGTACTTGCCCAAATGCTCCCAACGCCTATCCCGATACCAGAACTTCCGGTATCAGGAAGCCGGGCGGCGAGTCATTACTCACCTCACGGCCAAGTGAAAAGGGAGCATGGAGACGGCTTCCAGTCCAATCAGTATGCCAGGCGGCAAGTCATTACCCGCCTCCCCCCCCGGCTTCCTGATTAGCCAGAAAGCCTGCTCCATGCTTCCTTGTCACCTGGTGATGAGGGAGCATTGAGATGGCTTCCCGGCTAATCAGGAAGCCGGTCGGCAGTCCTTAATGGGACTTCCGATTATCGATATTCGGTATGTTGCATCCCTATTTCATTCCCTAGACCAAAATGAGCAGTTAACCCTTGCAGTGCGGGGTTAGCCCCACTGCAAGGGTTCACTTTTGAATATCCTGGAAATCTGCTTTAAACATCAAGGAGCAGCATCCACTGTAAGCCTAAAACATTTTGACTTTAATATCAACCTAAGCTCAGATCCACTGACAAATATTTCTATGTGGGAGAAGTGCAATCATGGCCTCTGGGCGCTCTGGCTTCTTATATTTCTCAATAACTCCACAGGTTAGATCACCGGACAGAAGTTAGGGAGACGCTAACATGTGAATCATCCTGACAACAACTGTGCAAATCTAAAATATCAGTTTTGTGTGGATATATACTTCAAAGGGGAAGAATTTAATCTAAATCCCTGCTTTTATGTGACTGGGAAACACTTCATTATATTGTAAAGCGCTGCGCAAACTGTTGGCGCTACACAAATCCTGTATAATAATAATATATCTGTACACGGTGTCCTGTATCAATCCTAAACACACAGATCAAAAAATCCGGGACTTTCATTAATGTAAATGTCATCTCCATGGATTACTGTTTCCTTGATATGTATTCCTTGCAGGGTTATAGAAGATTAGACATAGAATTCTTAGATAATGAAGACAAGGACTATTTGCTGCACTGATAATGTTGTCTCATTCCTTATACACTGGGGATGGAGTTCTGAATAGACCATTCTTTGTTTTCTTGGTTCCTATGTATCGTGCATACACTGCCCAATTCTTCTGTGTTTTTATCCTATATGCACAGATACTTGCTATTTGTACCTGTTCTGTTACTCTATAAAAATAATACAATTCAGCCTTAAAAAACAAATTGTCACCTAATGCCCAGGCAGGTGGCAGGTCTACAAATCCAGGCATCCTGGGAGGTATACAACAATGGAAGAGGATCTATGTTACTGATAGTAACCAGTAATTCCAGGTGCCAGTTTTTCAGGTTAGAAAGGTTAAAAACACCAATAGAATATGTATACTGGCAGTGTTCTGCTCCATACTTGTCCTTAAATTATGAGCGCATTTAAGACACCAAAATCTGCCAGTAATTCAAATGCATCCTGAATACCTGGCCAAGCTTGTGATATCTTGCTCAGCAACTATCTGACCGCAGGTAACATTACCTCTTGCTATGTACTCATTCTTATTCTTCACATTCCTAATGGGCATCGGTCATATATTTGTGGCACAAGTATACATATCCTACCTTTAACATCTAGGACAAGGTCATCACTTATATAAGAGGAGATTATCCCATCCTGGTTGATCTTCCATTTTTGTCGAAATTTGCCATGTTCTGCCCAAAGTGACACTTTTGATCCAGGGATGTTTTTGCCTCCGATAACATCTAAACATGAATCATTTGCCTGAAATCAAATACATACAGGTAAATAAACCATTCTAGAATTGCACTTGTGCCTGAATTATGGGCATTAAAGTATTCATATATTCTTAACAACCAGTAAAAGAGCTTTAAAACAAACTATGACTGACCTCTGCAGCTGCTTGTACTGTGAAGTAATTCATTCTTAGGGATGGTTTACACTAGCCACATGGTAAAACACTACATTTTACTGTGCGGCTAGTGTCAGCTGAAAGGCAATAGTGAGCTGCGGTGCCTTGCAATGTTACAACGTAAGGCACTATTATCTTTTTTAACTTTATGTGGAGTGCACAAACTGTACACTCCATTCATGTCCCTGCACAACTGAACAATTAACTGCAGTTCATTGTCCTGGCGCTGTGAAAAATTGTAGTATGTCTGCATTTTTTCGCAGGACACTGCACTGCAGATCACACCTGCATTGTAGGGTGAATGGGGTACACAGCACTTAATTGTTTTCTATGTGCCCTAGGGGCATTCTTCAGTTGGAAAATGGCAGTCACAGATCTAGTGTGAAAGATCACAACAAAGACTCTACAGTCAGCTTAAAGTGTTATTAAACCCTCATGTGTTTTTGCATATGTCTATGGCTAGCAAGGAGTAGATACCGTGTTTCCCCGAAAATAAGACCTACCCCGAAAATAAGACCTAGTGCTAACTTCAGGGATTTCCGTAATATAAGACCTACCCCGAAAATAAGACCTAGTTCGGCAGTAGGGGGCGCACATGTATTGCTGCATCCAAGCAGCCAGAAAGGGGTCTGAGTGTAAAAATCAATGACATGTGCAGCTTGTCTCCTCTCTGCATGTACGGTCTAATAAAATGTCACGATCGCAAAGCTCCCTCCGGCCCGTCTGCCCGCCGATCCACCCGTCTGCATGTACGGTCTAAAAACAAGTAGAGATCGTAAAAAACTTTCTGGCCGCAGCTCCCTCCCTCCCTCCGGCCCGTCTGCAAGCCGTTCCGCCCGACTGCCTCGGCTTTTAGGATGCCTGGACGGCATCAGAGAGCTCCAGACAGCTGCAGCCAGGTACCGTACTGTGACACTGTGTGACAGTCACAGTACCATTCTTTCACTCCCCTTCTCCAGTACTGTATGATACAGTACATTACATGCCGGTATCTCTGCTCTGCGTGACAGTCACGGTCCTGATTTCTGTACATACCGTTTTCCCCCGAAAATAAGACCTAGTGTGTTTTTTTGGGGAAAAAAAAATATAAGACAGTGTCTTATTTTCGGGGAAACACAGTATATGCAAAAACATTTTAAACGTTTTTTTTAAAGGGTTTAAACTTACCTGTGTCTTCGCCGCGCGCTCCCGTCCGAACATCTGAAGAGTCTCGGGCAGCCGCAAAGGATCTTGGGGCACATGCACAGTTCAGATGTTCGGCCGGGAGACCAGGAGAGACACAAGGTAAGTCTATGGAGCATCGTGCACCCGCACAGACACTGTGGGACATCAGAGAAGAGGAGGACAGAGTAGTCAGCGCTGGATAGGAGACCCGCACCAGCGCTGGAGGGACATCTGAAAACTACACTAAAGAAGAAGATCGGATTAAGAGGCATCATTTAAGGTAAGTCCCTACACTAACATTGGGTGGGGTGAAAAAAAATTAGACTTTAATGTCACTTTAAATCAGTGTCTACCAGCCTGGAAACACCTGCTGTGTGTTTACATTAGAGTGCTGGTAGGTTCCCAAGATGCTGGTGTTAGGGCTCGTTCACACTAGCATGCTAAAATCATCCGTTATAGTGTGTGGGCTGGTGTTTGTGTGTGCAGCCGGTTTGGGGAGGTGCCTTGCATTTTTACAATGCAAGGCACTGTTTATTTTTCACTAAGGGACACTTCATTCATTTATATGTAGCGCATAAAAAACAATTGTGCCCCTGCAGAGAACTGCGTTGCTCAGGTGCAGAGTAACCAAGCACAAAGTGTGAATGAGCCCTATGAGAAAGTACTAGGAAAAGAGCTACGATTTCAGTGCCTCTGTTGTGAACTCTGATGATGAATTTCTTCACATAACCTACAGCTAGAGAAATGAATGAGGGCAAGTTTTAAAGTGATGTTATTGCCTGTTCTGAATATATAAATATTGTGTCTAGTCTAGGCACAGGTTCACTTTGAGGAATAACTACAATATATTGTTAGTAAGTACACTTTTTTATTGTTCAAACCACTTGAGCTCCTGCACATGTACACCCCCTAAGGTGTGCATGTACTGGTATATGCCAACTGTGTACTGTAGTTGTTTGCTCAGAATGCAGCCTTAATCTTTTGTATAAGCACTTGAAACAAATATGAGTGCCAATTTTATTACAAAACAATGACACATATTTATAGTTATGTACATACTTTTTTGTCATCCTTGCAATGTTGTTCTTTTGGGAATGTAATTATTTTAGCACTGGTAAGTATATCTGCAGTAAATTATCATATTTACGAATCTGTTCGCCCAAAGATGTATTTGCTTTCTGATTGTTTTGTGCACTGGTGTAAGCAAGAATCTAATTTCAGGTTCCTCTCAGGACACCCATCTGATGTTATAAAAGCGTTGCTCCAGAGGAGAATGACAAAGTGTCTGAAAAATGTTCTTTGAATTTGAAACTACAGATGGTAATGTTAGGAGATAGCGCTTGTCTATTTCTCAGGTCTTTTCAGGATGTGCAATGTAACAATATTTACCTTAGATTTCAGGAAACCTCGACTGAAGTACCATATCTGAGAGCTCTGTCCGTTCCTGGATGAAACGCTAACAAATGTAGCTCTTGAATCTGACAATTTCCCACTGACAGTCAGGTACTTGTCTCTGTGTCTGTTCCTTACCATAAAGTACACAGCAGGCTGTGAAAGAAAAAGTTAAAGCAAGTCTATCACAAGTGAAGGCCGTGTGGCTAAACATATTTAAACAACCATTTTTCATATTCATACAGTGCTGATATATTACAGAAGACATAGCAGTGTGTACATTGGTCTCTGTTGGGTATATACATCTATTGGGCAGCACCGTGGCTTATTGGTTAGCACTTCTGCCTTACAACCATGGGGGTCCCTGGTTCAAATCCCAGTCTCTGCTAGGAGTTTGCGTGTTCTCCCTGTGCTTGTGTGAGTTTCCTCCTGCACTCCAAAGACAGGCTGACATTTTTATTGGCTGCTGTCTATATTGGCCCAGCATGTGAGATAGGTACCTTAGATTGTAAGCTCCTTGAGGGTAGGGACTGATCTGAATGTGCGTTGTGTAACCTATTGGCGCTATATAAATTCCAATAATAAGTAAATATTGCCTCTACTACACTCCTCACTGACCAGTATGCTTTTGGAAAAATGACCTCCCATAAGAAATCCATGCATGGTCTGAGTGTAAAAATCAATGACATGTGCAGCTTGTCTCCTCTCTGCATGTACGGTCTAATAAAATGTCACGATCGCAAAGCTCCCTCCGGCCCGTCTGCCCGCCGATCCACCCGTCTGCATGTACGGTCTAAAAACAAGTAGAGATCGTAAAAAACTTTCTGGCCGCAGCTCCCTCCCTCCCTCCGGCCCGTCTGCAAGCCGTTCCGCCCGACTGCCTCGGCTTTTAGGATGCCTGGACGGCATCAGAGAGCTCCAGACAGCTGCAGCCAGGTACCGTACTGTGACACTGTGTGACAGTCACAGTACCATTCTTTCACTCCCCTTCTCCAGTACTGTATGATACAGTACATTACATGCCGGTATCTCTGCTCTGCGTGACAGTCACGGTCCTGATTTCTGTACATACCGTTTTCCCCCGAAAATAAGACCTAGTGTGTTTTTTTGGGGAAAAAAAAATATAAGACAGTGTCTTATTTTCGGGGAAACACAGTATATGCAAAAACATTTTAAACGTTTTTTTTAAAGGGTTTAAACTTACCTGTGTCTTCGCCGCGCGCTCCCGTCCGAACATCTGAAGAGTCTCGGGCAGCCGCAAAGGATCTTGGGGCACATGCACAGTTCAGATGTTCGGCCGGGAGACCAGGAGAGACACAAGGTAAGTCTATGGAGCATCGTGCACCCGCACAGACACTGTGGGACATCAGAGAAGAGGAGGACAGAGTAGTCAGCGCTGGATAGGAGACCCGCACCAGCGCTGGAGGGACATCTGAAAACTACACTAAAGAAGAAGATCGGATTAAGAGGCATCATTTAAGGTAAGTCCCTACACTAACATTGGGTGGGGTGAAAAAAAATTAGACTTTAATGTCACTTTAAATCAGTGTCTACCAGCCTGGAAACACCTGCTGTGTGTTTACATTAGAGTGCTGGTAGGTTCCCAAGATGCTGGTGTTAGGGCTCGTTCACACTAGCATGCTAAAATCATCCGTTATAGTGTGTGGGCTGGTGTTTGTGTGTGCAGCCGGTTTGGGGAGGTGCCTTGCATTTTTACAATGCAAGGCACTGTTTATTTTTCACTAAGGGACACTTCATTCATTTATATGTAGCGCATAAAAAACAATTGTGCCCCTGCAGAGAACTGCGTTGCTCAGGTGCAGAGTAACCAAGCACAAAGTGTGAATGAGCCCTATGAGAAAGTACTAGGAAAAGAGCTACGATTTCAGTGCCTCTGTTGTGAACTCTGATGATGAATTTCTTCACATAACCTACAGCTAGAGAAATGAATGAGGGCAAGTTTTAAAGTGATGTTATTGCCTGTTCTGAATATATAAATATTGTGTCTAGTCTAGGCACAGGTTCACTTTGAGGAATAACTACAATATATTGTTAGTAAGTACACTTTTTTATTGTTCAAACCACTTGAGCTCCTGCACATGTACACCCCCTAAGGTGTGCATGTACTGGTATATGCCAACTGTGTACTGTAGTTGTTTGCTCAGAATGCAGCCTTAATCTTTTGTATAAGCACTTGAAACAAATATGAGTGCCAATTTTATTACAAAACAATGACACATATTTATAGTTATGTACATACTTTTTTGTCATCCTTGCAATGTTGTTCTTTTGGGAATGTAATTATTTTAGCACTGGTAAGTATATCTGCAGTAAATTATCATATTTACGAATCTGTTCGCCCAAAGATGTATTTGCTTTCTGATTGTTTTGTGCACTGGTGTAAGCAAGAATCTAATTTCAGGTTCCTCTCAGGACACCCATCTGATGTTATAAAAGCGTTGCTCCAGAGGAGAATGACAAAGTGTCTGAAAAATGTTCTTTGAATTTGAAACTACAGATGGTAATGTTAGGAGATAGCGCTTGTCTATTTCTCAGGTCTTTTCAGGATGTGCAATGTAACAATATTTACCTTAGATTTCAGGAAACCTCGACTGAAGTACCATATCTGAGAGCTCTGTCCGTTCCTGGATGAAACGCTAACAAATGTAGCTCTTGAATCTGACAATTTCCCACTGACAGTCAGGTACTTGTCTCTGTGTCTGTTCCTTACCATAAAGTACACAGCAGGCTGTGAAAGAAAAAGTTAAAGCAAGTCTATCACAAGTGAAGGCCGTGTGGCTAAACATATTTAAACAACCATTTTTCATATTCATACAGTGCTGATATATTACAGAAGACATAGCAGTGTGTACATTGGTCTCTGTTGGGTATATACATCTATTGGGCAGCACCGTGGCTTATTGGTTAGCACTTCTGCCTTACAACCATGGGGGTCCCTGGTTCAAATCCCAGTCTCTGCTAGGAGTTTGCGTGTTCTCCCTGTGCTTGTGTGAGTTTCCTCCTGCACTCCAAAGACAGGCTGACATTTTTATTGGCTGCTGTCTATATTGGCCCAGCATGTGAGATAGGTACCTTAGATTGTAAGCTCCTTGAGGGTAGGGACTGATCTGAATGTGCGTTGTGTAACCTATTGGCGCTATATAAATTCCAATAATAAGTAAATATTGCCTCTACTACACTCCTCACTGACCAGTATGCTTTTGGAAAAATGACCTCCCATAAGAAATCCATGCAAAAACAACATAAACCCCTTTTTCATGTGCAACATATGCTTTAACTGAAAACGCATCTTATCAGGGAAGCATATCCTCCCGTTTACTTTCTCAAATAACTCATTCCCATACAGCTATCACCTTTTTTATTTCTTGCCCTCCCTCCCTTATAGATTGTAAGCTCTTATGTAAGCTCTTATGAGCAGGGTCCTCCTAACTTTCTTGTTTTCAATTGTATTGTAACTGTACTGTCTGCCTTTATATTGTAAAGCGCTGTGCAAACTGTTGGCGCTATAAAATCCTGTATAATAATAATAACTGTGGTGATCGGCAGTGGAAAATATGTCATATAAGCTATGTGACAAACAGCCCCTTTGGGTCCACGGCAGCGGATTGAGTAGTTTACCTGCTGCCTAGACTATGGTGTTTTATAAGTTGGCGGTAGTGGTAGGTCTGCCCTGCAATATACAGGGGGTTAAGCCACACCCTTTTCCCTCTAGGGCAAAACTTGCATTTTCTGGGATGTGTGGTGTCTGATAGAGAGAATGCATGTAGGCTGTGCTGGAGCAGCCTGCAGGTCTAAGCTGACTTAAATTGTCTCACAGATACCCAGGAGGCTGAAATGTTTGTAAATGGGAATTGTACTCCCTTGGAAGAGATTTCCTCTCACTTCCTGTTGCATCCCTAAGACAGGAAGTGAAGGGAAATCTCCCCAGAATAACACTGAATCCCTCCATTCAACTAACAAAGAAAACAACATCAGTGCTTGCGTTCCGGTCCAGTGCGATCTGAAAAAATAGTACATGCAGCATTTTTTCAGATCGCATTAGACCGTAACGCAAGCACTGATGTGCCAAGCATTCTGATGCGGGCGATCGCACTGCGAGCAGGGGGCGTGGCTGCGGTGCAATTGACTTCAACGCCCCCTCCCGCCCCTGAAAGCAGGAAGCTGGCCAGGATGCGCTCCAGTGGGTTCCAGCAGCAAATCGTGCTGGAACGCACCGGAGCTGGTGTAAACCAGCCCTAAACCCGGACAGATTCCAAAGGGGCAATGCAATGTCCTTTGGAATGAATGCATTACCTTCCCACTTCAGAGTGATCCCAAAGGGGTGACCTCCCTCCTATATTTCCTATAGCTGCTTCCCCATTAACTTTTGCTGTAGAAGGATACATCCAATGCAAGAGTGAGATATATCATAATGGCTGAAATCTGGTGCACCACATTTCTGCTGCTCCCACTAGAGTGAAATAACCAGTAATTGATTTTAGTGTGTGTAATTAGTGTGAAACTATAATTCCTGATAATATTGTCTTCTGTATAATAAACCCTCCTCCACTGTTCTGAGAGCAGCTGTGGACATTTGGGTAAAACACAAGTCAGGTAGACTCCTGTGAAGGACATGTTCTAATTACTATGGCATTGAGTTAACTAAACTAACTTAACAGAGTGTTTGCCTTTTATCTTCATGACCTGTGACAAATGGCTCTTCACTGAAATTGACTGATGCATATACTTCAGTACTTGCTTTACCTGTTTTAGGGGCCGAAGGGACCCGATCAATTTCCAGCCACTAAACTTTGACCAGTTAAGAATTTGTTGGGCATCCAGTAACATTTGTCTTCCTAGGAAACTAGCGCCTTCAAACGCAATCCACCTGAAAGAGATTTTTTGGTGAGAATGAAGAATTTTTCATTGTTTCATTAAACCTGTTTTCACACTAGGTTCTGGGTCTCGTTCTGTGGGTTTGTCATTACTAATAGCGAGTCAGCTTTGCTTCCTATAACAAGAAAGGCTTCTAGTCCTCAGTGCTTCCCAGAGATGGCTACAAAAAACACATGCTGAGCCCAAAGAATCAATATACTGTAGATGGTCATGTATGTTGATTCTGGCAAATGTATGAACTGCAGCCAGGAATGACAGCTCGTACATGAGCCCCATATATAGAAGGTGGTGGAGAAGACCTCTGTGTCTTAGTGTACCTTTGCAGGGAAGGGGCCTGTGCAAATGTTGTATCTCTGCCTCAGTCAGACATGGATTGGAGTGTCTGCTCACATGTGTGGACCCAGTTCACTTCAACAACTCTCCATAACAACTTAGGAAGTCAGAGAGATTTTCTTGTAATTTAATAGTTTATTAGCTTTACGCCTCAGTATTATGGATGACCTCACAGACAGCAATCAGGTGAGTACTACATAGCAGAGTGATCATTAATGCCACTTGAAGTGCTCTTTCACTGCCCACCTGCTAATTCTCTCTGACCTGTAATTTTCAGCAAAGCCATTGTCTATGGTGCTGTGTCATTTACATCAATGCGGTTAAGCCGGCATTCCTGCTACATATCTATAATTTCTTATTAGAGAGCACTGAACTCACAGAATAACTATGTGATTTTCATAATAACAGGATGTCCATGCCTATGGTAAATGCATCTAACTTACCATTCATTACAGTAATTATTTGCATTGTTATGTTCTGTTAATAGTAGCTAACTTAAAGGGATACTAAACTCAAAAGTTAAAAACCTTAAAAATGCATTCAAGTAACTTAGCTATTACCAAAAATGTATCTTATTTGTGTATCAGTCAGCTGTAGATCATCAATTCATCTTTAAATTCAAGTGCTGACACTGTCCTTCCTTCTGGAGGGTGGCTCCTTTTGTTCCCCATGGTCCCTGTGTCTGTTGTCAAGTAGACACCTCACTAAGCTTGCTCCTTTGAAGGACTACAATCTCATGTTTAGTTCACTCATTTGTACTGATATTAATAGTCCATCACAGGAGGGAGCTTGGAGTGGTGACTACTTTACAACACACGCAGGGACCATGTGGAACATAAGTAGCCACTCTCTAGAAGGAAGGACAGTGTCAGCACCAATTCAGAGATGATTTGAGGATCTACAGTCGAGTGATACACAAATAAGATACATTTTTGTTAATAGTTAAGGTAATTGAATGCATTTTTATGGTTTAACTCCTGAGATTAGTGTCACTTTAAGTCCACTTTTAGAACATCCAGGCAAATCAAGCAAATAGAAACTCTCCATTTTCCCTCCTTTATCTTGCTGTACTATTTTTTCTAAATTCTTTATACAAAGTTTTTTTTAACTCAAACACTGCTAAATCACCAACAGTCCCATAAAGAACATCATCAAAAGAAATCACTGTAATGGGGACAGCGAATGATGTACTGAAAACACAATACATGCAGTCCAATGAACAATAACAATAATGTGCACATAAAAAATCACCTACTAGATACATCCCCATATGACAGCTAATATAGAAATGTGTCCATAAGAACCATGTCATCCCTTCCAGTGCATCCGACAGTGTGCGAAGGGACCAAAAAACACTCAAGGAGTCCAGAAAGATAGAAGGGGATAAGGGTGAAGAAGAGAAAAGAGAGAAGAGAGAGTGGAAGAGAAGGAAGGAGTAGAGACAACATTTATATACAAAAAAAGATTTAAAGTGACATTAAGGGCAAAAATCCCCCCTCTCCCACAGTGCCAATGTAAGGACTTACCTTTAAATAATGCCTCTTAATCCGATCCTCTTCTTCTTTCCTATAGTTTTTAGCTGTCCCTCCAGCGATGGTGCGGGTCTCTGATCCACCGCTGACTCCTCTGTCCTCTTCTCTGATGTCCCACGGAGTCTATGTGGGTGCACGCTGCTCCATATTCTTACCTTGTGTCTTTCCCCAATCTCCCGGCCGAACATCTGAACTGTGCATGTGTCCGCCCCAAGATCCTTTGCGGCCGCCCGAGAACGTTTCAGATGTTCGGACGGGAGCGTGCGGAGGAGACAGATAAGTATTAACCCTTTGAAAAAGTGTTTTTAAAAAAAATCGTTTTGCATATATCTACTGCTTGCTAGCCATAGATAGATATATGCAAAAACATGCAAGGGTTTAATAACCCTTAAATCCTGTGTCCATATAATAACTGCCCCGCTCCACCTCCCACCCTCGTTGCCACATGTTGCCACAGTCGCACTGTGGTAAAGATTATAACGAAGAACTCTGATGTGAAGGAGGAACTGAGGACTCTGATGTGATGGGGGCTCCTGATGTGAAGGAGGGACTCCTGATGTGAAAGGGGGGTCTGATAGGAAGGAGACTCCTGATAGGAAGGGGGGCTCCTGATGGGAAAGAGGGCCTCTGATGTGAGAGAGGGGAACTTAGATGTAAAGGGGAGAACTCAACATCATTTTTTGTGTGGGGTCCCCCCTTAAAATGCATACCATATATCTATCTAGGATAAGGGTACAGATTTGGGGGGAACCCCCGGTCATTTTTTACATTTTAGACTGGGGCGTCTTGATATTTTGCTTACTTTTAAAGGGTGCCATGGCTGAAAAAATTGTTGAAAATAGGGAACTCTTAAGGCATCAACATTTTGGACAATTTCATGCTACCAACTTTGTGGGAACAGTTTGGGGATGGCCCCTTCCTGTTCCAACAAGGTCCATAAAGACATGAATGAGCGCGTTTGGGGTGGAGGAACTTGACTGGCCTGCACAGAGTCCTGACCTGAACCCAACAAAACACCTTTGGGATGAATTAGAGCGGAGAATGCGAGTCAGGCCTTCTCGTCCAACATCAGTACCTGACCTCACAAATGCACTTCTGGAAGAATGGTCACACATTCCCATAGACACACTCCTAAACCTTGTGGACGCCTTCCCAGAAGAGTTGAAGCTGTTATAGCTGCAAAGGGTGGGCCAACTCAATATTGAACCCTACGGACTAAGACTGGGATGCCATTAAAGTTCATGTGTAAGACAGGCGTCCCAATACTTTAGGCAATATAGTGAATGTGAGCTATTTTACCTGTCAGAGGATTTGCACTTCTGTCCACCTTGTTCTGATATTTACACAACCCTGCCAGATCACACAGCCAGGCTGATGACCTGATTTCTCCCTACTACAGTTAGGTAACACGTCTAGGTCACTTCCCTACCTTTGTCCTGTCACTGGATAGTGAAGGAGCAGCAGCTGCTCACCAGTCTTCTCTCTCTTCCTGTCAGCATGTTTCTTATCAGCACATACAGTATGTTAGAAGCAAGAGGATCTTTATAACTGCCAGGCAACTAGCATCTTCATAGGGAGGTTAGCAGTTGTAGCCGATATATATATATTTCCATCACATGCACAAATGTATAAAACAGTCCAAATGGTAGACACTGCACTCTATTTGTAAAGTAAATGCCCGGGTACTCAGCCACAAAAAAAAAAAAATATCCATACAAATCCAAAGTAGGTATAGAGGCTCTCGTGGGTCTTGTAGCGAAGATAAATCAAAGCATCAGCATTTTGTAGAGTGTTGTAAAGTAGTCACCACTCCAAGCTCACTACCCGTGATGGAATAGAACTTCAATATAAATGAGTAAACTAAATGTGAGATTGTAGTCCATCACGGGAGCAAACTTGGAGCGGTGGCTACTTTACAACACGCAGGCACCTTTTGGAACAAAAGTAGCCACCCTCCAGAAGGAAGGACAGTGTCAGCACCAATACAGAGATAATCATCATGATGATCTACAGCTGAGTGATACACAAAAAAATAATTTTTTTTGTTAATAGTTTAGGTACTTGAATGTATTTTTAAGATATAATTCCTGAGTTTAGTGTCACTCTAACAACTGAATAGTGTAAGCTGCAATGTGATTCAGCTTATCTTTAGCTACCAGTGAGTTCCGGGTAAAGTGGCCATCATGATTATTGCCATGTATAATAGCAGGAAGGCATAAACTCTTGACTGTCTAATATACTGGAAATAACACTTTTATTATGCTGTGACCAGGTGAACACAGGTGGCTGCAGTCATGCTCACATCCCCGAGTATTTACTTACACTGGGCCAAAAGACAAATGAAGACATGTGAACCTTAGTCGATCCATTTATCATTAAATGAAAACCCTTTCAAGGACAAGATTGCACAATACACTCGTAATGTCTACGCGTAATACGCGTAATGTCTGTATTTTCTAAATAATGAGATACTGAGGTAATATATATATATATATATATACATATATATATACATACTGTATATATTTTCTAAGGATAAAAAACAAAGCAAACACACACAAAATGCAATTTAATCACCATTTCCCAAAACAGACTGCAATTTTCTATAAATATGAATTTTAGGAACTGTGGTCTAATTGACATCTGGGTATTGTTATGAAATAAGGAATTAAAATTGGCTCTAAATATGACCTAATAACATCTCTGATGGCTTACAGCCAACTTTATTTTATTTTAATGTTTACTAGTAAATGAACGGACCTTTTATTTTTTATTTATTCATTACTAATGCCAATTTTTATTTTGCAAAAAATATGGCTTCATTGACCCTGCATTTAATTAAAAACATAAGAGGCTTTCTAATAAGCAAGCCCAGCATTGGCTGTTTCCATTTTGACGGACTCTAATGAAAATCCATATGGATACTTATGAAGTAGATCACAAGGGGGAAAGGTGTATCCATCCTGTTATTCAGTTAGTTTTTAGGCAGCTTTCCATATAATGACAAGCAATTTTTGTTTTACTAAAATGTTCAATATACAATAATCATAAAGGTCATCAGGACTACAAAAATGGATGCTTCACAGTTTAATGTAAAGACATATTGTCACAAAGGAAACACCAACAT